GTGTGTGTGTGTGTGTGTGTGTGTGTGTGTGTGTGTGTGTTATCTCTGTGCTGTCTATTATAGATCAGACCTGGCCAATCACCAGAATTACTTGGGGAAATTGTTTCAGACACAGCTTTCAGGGCTGCAGACCTCCAGACCTACTGGAAACTTAACATTGCAATAGAACCTAGGAAGCTATAGGTTGCAAAAGCTCTCCAGGTAATTCTGATGATCAAGTTTTAACAAATTACTGTACTGCTTAAATGAGAGAAAGATTTTCTTCAAACTACCATTGATCAGCGATCTTATGTGAATCCAGAATCAAATGGAAGCCTTACAGGTACCTTGCCACAGCTCATCTCACTAGAGAGTAGGAAACTGTAGGGTCTGTGTGGAGTCCGGCCAGTCACATGGAAGATGAGGCTCCAGCGTGGCAGCAGAAGATGCACTCACATGGCAACCTGAACAAAAGGTCTCTTTTGAAATCCTAATCTTGAATAATTTTAAAGAAAGGAGGCTATTTAAAACAATTAAGTTATAATTTGGAAGTGATGGTATGAATAATGTATTTTCCTTGCGAATATATCTGATATTTGGGGAAATTTAGCCTTTGGAATAACATAGCTGTATTATAAAGAGCTGCTCTTAATTATTGAGTGGGATGGTACTTAGTCTTTTAGGCTGAATCTCCTTCTCCACGTTGTCACCCTCCCACTGGAAGACAGGTGTCACCTTCGGCTGACAGGCTAAACTGTATATCAGTGGCTTCTAGTTCAAGATCAGGTTGATGTTGGTTAGCCTTTTCTCCTCCGCTGATTGCTTTCAAGAGTTTCTCTCTCTCTCTCTCTCTCTTTAAAGATTTCTGAGGCTTCATTTCCATTTGGAGTCTCGCAGTGACTTCATTAGCGAGCTGTTTTATTTTGAATTTTTTTTTTCTGGTACCAGGGATCAAACTCAGGACCTTGTGCTTGCGAGGCAGGTGCGGTGCCACTGCATTTGCTTTTCAGTCCTCGGACTATGATCTGTCAAGTTGTGGAAGTCCTTATATTTATACTGTTGGGGATTTGTGAAGTTTCTCAGATGGCTATGTCAGTGTTTTTCATCAAATTTGGGTTTTGTGCCTTTGTTTTCTTTCTTAACCATTATTTCCCCAAAACATTCCCCCATCCTCACTCTCTCCAGTTACATGTGTCCTAGTCCACTGGATCTGGGCCCTCAGTACTGGAGGCTGCTTAGCCTGCACTTTTTTCTCCTGTTTCCGATTGCATCATTTCTGTTGATCTGACTTAAAGTTCATAGCAATCCACTATAAACTCACCGAATGACCTTTTCAATTCAGTGTTTCAATTTAGAATTTGCATTTGGTTCTTTTTTATAGTGCCCAGTTCTCTGCAGAAATTCTCTATTGGCCTCTTATTTAGAATTTATTTTCCTTTAATTCTTTCAACATATTTTCCTTTGCCTCTTTTAAATATTGATTGATTGGGCCTGGGATTTAGCTCAGTGGTTTCACCACCTGCTGCGCAAGCGCAAGGACCCGAGTTCGATCCCTGGTACAAAAAAATATATATATTGATTAATTGATTGATACCGGGAATTGAACTCAGGACCTTGTGGTTGCGAGGCAGGCAGCAGAACCACTGAGCTAAATCCCTGGCCCTCTTTTAAATACTTATAATAGCTGTGTTTAAAGTCTTTGCTAAGCTCAACATCTGAGCCACCTTGGTTTCAGTCTATTGACTGCCATTTCTCATGCCTGTTGGTCACATTTTCTTGTTTCTTTGTATGAATAATGAGTATTCGACTGAGCACCAGATTCATGGATAGTACATTTAATTTTTTTTTCACTGACTTTAATTTTAAGCAAACATTTGTTGGTACATTTTAGATATACGTAATTATAACACTCATAGGAAATTTGTACCTGTACATGATATGTCTTGTTTCTTTTTTCCTATTTCTCTCCCCTCTTTTCAACCCCTCTTCCTCTCCTTATTTAAAAAAGCTTTGTTTCCATTTTTTTCCTTCTGTTCTCTTTTTTCCCTTGCTGTGTAGAAGCTTTTTTTTTTTGTACCGGGGATCGAACTCAGGTCCTTGCGCTTGCGCAGCAGGCGGCGAGACCACTGAGCTAAATCCCCGGCCATGTTCTCTGTTTTCCTTGTCCCTTCTTTCCTTTCTCCCTCCCCCACTGCATGTTCCCTCTCTCATTTGAACATTTTCTTGTCATTTCCCAATATGTATTATACACTTGGTCCTTATTCCACTTTTGATTTCTCACACCAGAGAAACAATGCTGTATTTGAATGTGTGTCCAGTTTGACTCACTTAAGAGTATGGTCTCAAGCTGCATCCATTTAGCTAGAAATGTTTCAAGCTCATCCTTCTTTATGGCAGAGTAACACTCCAGTGTATAAAAATCAAACCCACATCTTCTTTATCCACTCATTGGTTGATGGGCATTTGGGCTATTTCCAAGCGTTAGCTATTACAGACTGTGCCACTATAAACATGGGTGCACATACTGCTCTGATATGATGCTTTTAATTCTTTCGGGGCAATACCAAGGAGGGGAATAGCTGCATTGAATAGAACCTCTAGTTCCAGTGTTTTGAGGAATCTCCACACTGATTTCCACGGTGGTCTCACCAGCCTGCACTCTCAAGAGTTCCTTTCTCCCCACAGCCCCGCCAGGATTTACTATTGGTTGATTTCTTGACAGCAGCCATTCTTTCTGGGGTGAGGTGGAATCTCAGCGTTGTTGATAATACATTTTAAAAACCCTAGATTTTTTTCATCTTCCTCAGACAAATGTTAATTCTTGTTTCAGCAGGCAGTTCAGACACCAGCAGATTACGGTGAACATATCCAGGGTTTGTTCATGCTTTACTGGAAAGGGTCTGGAGTAAGCTTGTAGTGCTTGCCAGGCCCTTCTAACGTGGCAGATTCTGCGCTCACATTGTATCTGTCTTACAGATCCAGTCAGCTCTTGGCTTTTTTTTTTTTGGTACCGGGGATCGAACTCTGGTCCTTGCGCTTTTGCAGTAGGCGGTGAAACCACTGAGCTAAATCCCCAGCCCTAGAACTTGGCTTTTGGTGTGTCAGCTATATCTGTCTCCTAAGCCGCAGCCTTCTGTGAGGCCGATGCTGGTGGCGTTACGAGGGGTAAAGCCAGCCTCTCCGCTCTGTAAGGGCAACTCTTGCCCTGGTGCGTTGGCTCTGTTGTCCGCTCCATAGACACTGCCGTCTGTGGAGCTGCTGCTGACCGCCCCCCGTGCATGGTGGCCAGGCCCTCAGCTCAATTCGGAGGACCCCACATGCGCCTGGGGCCAGCACCACCCGGCTGCCTCCTCACACCGCCTGATTGCAGGTTCCAGCCACCGCGGCAGCCTCAGACTGCTCCTTGCCCCTTTCTGTCATAGCACTTTGTGTCTGCTTGGACACCAGCGCTCTGCGACGTGGTCAGAGGTGCCTCCAGGTGTGGGACTGTGGGGCCACTCTCAGGGAGTGGCCGCGACTTGATGTTGTCCACTGCCTGCAAACAGGCGCCTCATGTATGTGTCCAGTTTCACCACTCTGTCTTGGCGGGAACTCAGATGTGAATGTAAACATGCTTTCGACTTCACTCCGAGTGTTCTTTTTTCACCACAGCTTGATTTCAAAATGAGGTTGTTAGGAGGGAATACTTACCCGCACAAGTCTGAGTAGTTACATATCAGGTTAGCAGTACTGATACTACCACTAGGAAATATTGGCAAACCCCATTAGGGGGCTTTTGTCCTTTCAGATAAATCTTGGATAGAACTAACAGATGAGTCAGTCTCTTTAAAAAAGCTATCAAGGAGAGTAGAATAACACCATTCTGTAAATAAGCACTTAGAGGTGCTTTCCTGCTGGCTCCATTTAATAAATGGTTTCTTTATTTCCTATCTATTTCATAGATACTTTATGTCAGAGTGACTTGATTTTGTCTGACTGACATTGTTAACAGATGGAGTCATGTTAAACCGAGATGACGCTTCCTTTGTCTGTCTCCAGTGACTTTTCCTTGATGCCCTTTTTCAGATGTCAAGGGTTCTTGTGAGGTTACCAAGTTGATTGGCTATTACTGGAAATAAGAAGGGCCAGGGATTTAGCTCAGTGGTACTGCACCTGCCTCGCAAGTGCAGGGTCCTGAGCTTGATCCCCGGTACCAAAAGAAAAAACCAGCCAAACAAACAAAGTTGCTGGAAATAAGAAAAAGGAGTTTTCCAGGTATGGTGGCACATGGCTGCAATCCTAGCACTTGGGAGGCTGAGGCAGGAGAGTCGAGTTTGAGGCCAGCCTGGACTACGTAGTGAGATCTGTCTCAAAACAAAAAAAAGTTTAAAATGCATTTTTAAGAAGATAATAGGAACTATGGAGTAGTCCAAAAACGAAATTGAGGAAAGAAGAGATATGTCAGTTAAGAGCAGCTATAGTGTATTAAACTGACAGTTTTTAGTAATGTGTACAGAGCATGAAACATGAGCAGAATTGAAAAATAGTTTTACTTAAAAAAATCATGGAAGTGCACAAAGAATATGAAGCTTGAAGAAAAAGAAAAGGCCATAAGTATATGAAAAGATACTCACAACTAAAGAAATACAAGCTAAAATTGTGAGATACCTATCAGATTGGCAAAAATTAAGATATTGCTCAGTGTTAATAAGGGTGTGGAGAAACAGGATCTCTTACACACAGCAATGAGAATATAAACTGGTGCAGCCTTTGTGGACAGCAGTGCACATGCACTCTTATTCTGCTTTTTAGAAATTTATCCTGAAGCATTATCTCCACAACTATGAAGAAATCTAGACACTTAACATTTTAGTAGCCAAGTGACTGGGACCAACTGGCTTGTCCAAGACTAGAAAATGGTTAAGTAAATGACGGTACAGCCACACAGTAAAATGCTGAAGTCGTTAAATAAAGCAGAGGTCTCCAAATGTAGCTATGGAAAGGTTCCAAGATGTATTATTATGTGGAAAAAAAAAAAGCAAGCTGCTAAGCAGTGTGTTTGATCTGATCTCTTAGGTAAGTGCTTACAGAGTACAGATGTGTGTATGACAGGGTATACTGGTAGCAAATTTTGCTGGAAGGATACTCAGAACAATGTGAACAATGGTTATCTCAAGGAGAAGAATTTGAAGGATAGGGAAACATCGTTTTCACTTCACACTTCACCATCTGAGTACCCTGACAGTGTTCATCTATGCTTTTTAACCTCAAGTGTGATTACCCGAGAGTAGGATTATGAGCCATTTTAATGTCATTCCTTATACTTTTTTCTATTAAAATATATGAACGTATTTTAAAATAGTATAAAAGGAAAAAAATCTTCCCAAGTATATATTTGATTAATTGATGACCTTCAAGTTACTGGAATATGTTAGAAGCTGTTAAGCTGGTGCTTCGGAGAATTCTTCTTTTCTCACGGTCTGACCCGCTCTGGGCTGTTTTCTTCTCGCAGACCTTTTATGTGTCCATCGTCGATTTATGTGAAAATGGCGGGAAGCGTCCTACCACAAACAGCAGCGCTAGCTTCACCAAAGAACAAGCAGATGCCATTCGCCGAATTCGAAATAGCAAAGACAGTTGGGACATGCTGGGTGTCAAACCTGGGGCCTCACGGTAAGCAATGCGCCCATGCGTGTAGAGCCGAGTGCTGACAGAGAGAAGGACTCAGTTACCAAATGAAAGGTGCAATCTAACTTCTCTTAACTGGCTAGTAGCATGATGGTGTGTGAAATAGGCTCTGTAACTGCTCCGTCACTGAATTAACTAAATGCCAAAGGTACAAAACAGAAAGCACAGTTGCCTGCTAAGGGAACAAACCTTGGAACTAATGTAACCTAAAAAACAACAACAACAAAAAACCTTACAGAAGAAAATTTTAAAATCATAGAAACTTAGAGAATGCTAGCAATCAACCTGTCCACAAATTTCATTTTACGGGTGGGAAAACTGGGATTCACTGAAATTAAGCACTCTCAGGGCCCTGGGGGTTGGTGGTAGTATTGGTTCTTTATCCCTTAAAAACTGTGTGTGTGCCTGTCCAAACCCTGCCATTCCTCATCTGTGCATGTATTTATTTTATTTTAGCCGAAAGACTTAGGAAGAAAAGAAATATACTTCCTGTTCTTCATTGCTTATACAAATATAAATGACACCCAGTGTGACAATATAACTGTGATATAACACTGACATTACCGCACACAGTGTAGCTGCTGGGCTCTTGTCTCACACCCAGTGCCAGTTTGTCACAAGATACTTACTATGGTCGTCGATCAAACCAGGCTTTTTTGCTGTTTTGCTTTCCAGGCCCTTCCTCCCTAGCCCCCACATTATCCTCTGAATTTCCTGCCCTGTGCTGCTTCCCAGCCCCTTTTCCGAGCAGGCTCCTCGGGGGCTTCCCTGGTGCCCCAGGCCTTCCCTCCTTCCATCAGCAAAGGTTTGCTCAGTGCCTGTTCGGAGCCTCGTGCCCTTCTTTTCACCTGATCATTACTTCACCACTTCCTTCAAGTCAGCACACTCGCTTTGCGTCGAATTCTTCCTGTTTCTATGTGACCTGTTATTTATTTGGAGGTCCTGTCTTTGAGAAAAGGCTAACAGTGATCCCTGGGGTGTGCGTACTGCCTGCGCTGATTATGTGTGTCCTGATGGTGAGGCGGGGCTGTGGCTGACCTGTCAGTGATGCAGAGCTGGCTCTCTCTTAGGGAGGAACTCAATAAAGCCTATCGGAAACTCGCCGTGCTTCTCCACCCCGATAAGTGTGTGGCACCGGGCAGCGAAGATGCCTTCAAAGCAGTTGTGAACGCCCGGACAGCCCTGCTGAAGAGCATCAAGTAGACCAGGGACAACGGGCTGGGACTCAAGGGCACGCCACCTTCCCCGGGAGGCGAAGTAACCAGTGTGGAGTTTTCTTCACGAATCTCACTGCTCTGTTCACTCACTCGCTGTCATGTATATACCAGTGACCCAGGGCCTGTTAGCACTTCACAGGCATTTTACAGCGAGATGATCTGCATGTGTAGGGGGTGGAGAATCCCTGGGACACCTGTGCACTGCACCCATCCCATTGTCAGATAATCCGGGGCTTTGCCATTCGTCCGTAAGCTCCCTGGCGCTTCTCCTGGAAGGTCCACACGGTTCCTAGAGGGTGGGAAGACGCTGGCAAGACCCTTTTTTCCCCTTCTTTTTCCCTTCTTTTTAAATTCATCATCAGAGAAACAAAAATAGGAGAGAAAATAACAAAAACTCGCAGAGAACATCCCAGCCCCCGAGGGTCCAATGTGATGTCATCGTCGTCGCTCCTCCCGGTATTGAGAGTTCTTTTGGTGGCCTTTTGACCATCCATCTAATTACTGAAGTTGGGAGTGAAGCAACTCAGTTCTGAGTTGAGCAACCCTTCTATGGCATTCACTCTGTCCCTTTATCCAGCCATCCGGCGGAGGGACCCGCCAGTCCTAAGAGAAAAGCAGCGGCACCAACAGATTCTGGTTCCGGTGCCAGGTACTGCTGCTCATTCTGCCCCTCTGGGCGCTTGAGGCCTTTCCCCTGCCACAGAAGCGCTCGCTGGCTCGCAGCACAGTGCACCTGGGAGTGAGGCGCAGCCGCAGGGTGGAAGTGCTCCCAGGCTATCTTGGCCACGCCAGCCCCACACAAGCCTGGGGCAAGGCTGGCCTAGCAGGTGCGTTTGGGGCCTGAGATCCTGTCGGAGGCCTGGCCCTGTTCTTTCCCAGAGGCAGGAGGGAGAGACAGGGTCCCAAGCAAGCCTGGCCTCCTCTTCTTCACTTACTCAGTTTCTCCCTTCTTCCTTTATCCTCTTTGGTTTTTTTCTTTCTTTGTTTTGTTTTTTCTTTTTTAAGGTACCTCACATCTGCCATCAGGTCTCTCTCCTAGAATCGCTGGCTTTCAGCCATGACCTCTGGTTGACCAGAGAGTGGAGACTTTCTAAGCCCTGTGTGGGTCTGAATCTCTAATTTCTGCTTGGGCTCCAAATTTCTAAATAGTCATATTTTTGAACTACAGGTTATGAAAATAACTTCCACATAGAGAAATACATCCTCATGCCTTAGTCTCCTCCTCGGTCTGCAGGGATGGGTGAGGATCAGTATCAGACCTGACATTTCTCCCATGTTCACAGAGCCATCTCATTACAGGACTCATTACTTCAGCACTGTCTTCGTGTTACTCATGTTTTTCACTGCAATCACTTGTACTAATAGGAGCTTTGAAGGATATGATGTTGCTATCTGTGAATTTCAAACAGCTGTCCCATATTGATTGCCAAGTAGTGTATACTGTAATACCTAAGAAGAAGAGTCACTTTCTTATCATCCAGGACACTGCAGTCTGGGGGCCTTTGCACCTCTCCCAAAGCAGCGTCACTCGGAATGGATGCACTCAGGCTGCATGGAGGTTGTCGTCAGAAACCAGAGTGTTGTTTTTATTTTTATTTTTTGTGGTGCTAGGGGTTGAGCCCGTGGCCCTGCACCTCCTAGGCAAGTGCTTAACCAGTGAGCTGCATCCCCAGCCCCGGGTCATTGCTTTGTAATAGGAGTTTTCATCTGGGTGATAATCAAAAATCCTTTTTTTAAAAAAGATTTGAGACCTGGTATATTGTTTTCTTATGGGATTTTTCCCCTGGCCTTTACATGAGCATCAGGGACCGCAGAGCTCCAGCCCAGAGTTCTGAACCCTAATCTCACTGAGGCCGTCCTCTTGCCTGACATTGGGCCTGAGTGCTCAATGTCACTCCGACATTGGTCGGCTCTTGTAGCAAATGTAGGAGTCACGTGAGGGAGGGGTCCTATGCAGCGGCATCTGCCCACACGGACTGGAGAGCCCACGGAGCACGCGGGCCTGTGTGACAGCTGGTGCCAGTGTGCATCACGGTTGTTAAACGCTCAACCCCTCACCTCAGTCAGCTGCAGTACATCGTGCAGATGAGCAGGCATGGCAGGGAGAATCTTCTAGAGCTTCCATTCGCATCCTTAGGAGTGAGTTGTCGAAATATAGCTTTGGCTTGATTCTTAAGCTGCGGGACTCAGTTTCCAACACCTTCGTTATTAATGTGCAGGACGGCCATGCTACTCACATATGCAGAAGTATTAACATGAGAAAGTTAAGCCTCGAGGTCCTAGACTTTTTCTGATTTTCATAATACTTCAGCAGACCATTAAGAAATAACAAAGCATGATGTGCAATTTAAAGGTCTTTTGGTACTAACTTTATGCAAAATTTTACTGATCTCTATGCATTAATTTAAATTCTTGGTGCAGATGTGTGCTTTGTAGTTCAGTCTTATCAAAAGTTCTCCAGCCTGTTAGGATTTCAAAAATACATCAGTGAGAATCACAACGAGCAGAATAATTTCAATGGCTAAAAACTTTGTATAAGGAATTCTGTTTTTCAGAAAGAATGAAAAGTTTGAACAGCTATTATTAACAAAAGCCCATGTCTTCTACATCTGAGTCACCAAGAAGTAATGTGTTTTAAACTTGTTAGAAATCCCTGGGGGCATTTTCAACTTAATCTTCCAGCCTCCCTAAGCACTTTAAAATACTCCCTCCTCCCGTTTCTCTGTTCGCCTCTCAACTGTCAATATTTCTTTTGCTTTAGCACTGTCATTTTATTTCTTCATATAAATGTATCTTTGGGTTAATTAGCCTATTAATTTAAAAGTCCAGACTTGGGAGGCTTCGTATTGCTACCCAAGATAAACTGCTAGAATTCTATAGCTTGCACACCATTTTAAGGCTTGCATTTATCTCAGGAAACTTACACTGATATAGTCTCATGTATTGAATTCTCAAGTGGTAAAGCTTTCTTTATACCTGTGCACTAGTACCTAATTCACTATTAGTTAAATGAGCCATAGAGAAGGCAGCTAAATGCCTGAAGGATCACGAGAGCAAACCAGCGGCACCTGTGCTGAATTAGTAAAGTGGCCAATGTACAGAGAGCGGAGACAGAGCCACGGGTGGAGGGAGGGGTTTCTGTCTCCCCTCAGAAAGCGGGGTGCCAGGGGCTGGATGCAAACTGCCTTTGACAGTGACAGTGTCCCTCTAACACAGAGGCTCCGTAGGCCTGGGAATACCGCTTCCTTCACCACTGCACCCTGTCCAGCTCACTCTTAAGTATGCTAATGCTTTCGTAAAACTTTTGAGAATGAATTTATTTTTATTTTTTAATTTTTGGTACCGGGGATCGAACTCAGGTCCTTACGCTTGCGCAGCAGGTGGCAAAACCACTGAGCTAAATCCCTGGCCCTGAGAATAAATTTAGACGCACAGTAGAGCTAACTTCCATTGGAAGGTTGCAAAGTGAAGAAGGGGTTCATACTTCTCATTCTTGGTATGGAGCACAATTTTAAGACACAGTGAATGCTGTTTGGACATTGCTTTTTTCATTGAACGTCGCTGGAGAAGACAGAAGCTTTTCCCTGTGACGTGGAAAAGTTAGGCTGCATCTAATGAGCAGTGCAATAGTAGGCTGTGCAATAGCGGCCCTCGCCGTGCGCGCCTTTTATTGGAAAGCTGAGCAGTTGGGAGAGCTTCCTGCATTGATGGCTCCCTGGGCCTGCTGCCCCTCTGACTGAATGCAGAGTCTATCAATAAACTCTTTGCTCTTACAAGGTAATTTACATATCTGCTTTCTCTTGAAATAACTAAAAATGTTGAGTCTACGAGTTCTTTATGTCTTGTATACAGAGTGTCATATGTATTTAAGTTGTGTATTTTTATAAAGTAAAGCCAAATATCACACAGTGGTCTGTGGGCTGCATTTATTTGTTGGGACACCAGTCTTCAGTGTGGGACACTGGACACGAAGCCAGTCCCGTCCTTCTCAACTGTGACCTTCAACAAGCCATTTTGCTTTAGTTTCCAGTAGGCAGAATAGAGGGACAGGTAGTCATTGGTCCATCAGGCTATTCTGATCTTATTAAATTATGATAAAAGTATTGATCCCTTTAAAGAAAGGCACTGCTACATTTGACTTTTTAATTCATTTTAAATAATGTTATGGCTTAGATCTAAAATGTTCTCCAAGAGTCCCACACGTTCAGTCTGGGCTTTGGGAAGGCGACTGGAGCATGAGGGACTTTGGCCTCCCAGGGCTTGTCTGCTGATGAGACCATCACTGGACAGCACTGTTGGGAGGTGCTGGGGGGGAGGGGGTACTGCAGAGAACGGGGTGCCAGGGCTCCTTGGGGACTGTGTCTGGTCCCCAGACACTTCCTCTCTGGCTGTGTTGCTCTCTCTCTCTGCATCCTGGTGCCATGAGGTGAGCAGCTTTCTTCTGCCATGCCTCTGCCTTGGCACAGCCTGAAGCAGTGGAGCTAGTCGACCCCCTGTGGACTGAACCTCCAAAACCATGAGCCAACATAAATCTTGCTTCCTTTAAGTTGACTTATGTTAGGTATTTTGACATAGCAGCAGAAAGCTAACTAACACACATAGTGCAGCTAGGGGCTGGGATGTAGCTAATGGAAGAGCATGTATGTAGCATGTACAAGGCCCTGGGTTTGAGCCCCAGCAACAGAAACAACGGAAAGAGAAGGGGGCGGGGGCAGAAATAAAGAAAAAGGAAGGAAGGAAGGAGAAAAGAAAGAAAATAAGCAGACTATTGACTGGCTAGTGTAATAATTCACTTAACTGATCTGTCGGCCACCAGAACCCTAAGTCAAGACTATGTTTACCCTCAAATTTGATGTTCATAGGAGGTGAGGTCTTGCTGTGTTGCCTAGGCTGATGTCAAACTCATGAGCTCAAGCAGTCCCCCTGCCTCATCCTCCTGGGGTTGTAGATAAATTCATCACCACACCTGACCAAGAATTCGAATATCTTGTAGGGCCAGTCCACAGGAAGCCACTTATCTCTGAAGGCTACAAGCAAGAACTCTACTTTTCTTCTTTCTCTCTCTCTTTTTTTTTTTTTTTTTTGAGTCAGGGTCTTGCTATGTAGTCCAGGCAGGCCTCAAACTCAACAGCGACCCTCCTGCCTCAGCCTCCCGAGTGCTGGGATTATAGGCGTGCACCACCACACCCGGGCTCTACTTTTCATTTTTATGTCAGGTATTGAGCTGCCCAGCAGCTACCTCATCTGAGAATGGCCCATCCCTCTTGGGGAACTGCTCCATCCTCTCCATCCCACTGACATGCTCTAAAGGCGAGATGTGACCTGAATGTCCCAACTCTTCTGTGACCCGTCCTTCCGCCCTGGTCACCGCAGTCAGCAAGGACAGGCGTGACCTCAGCTCAGCCATCAGTGCGTCCCTCTGGGTTCTTTCTAACTGAGCTAGGAAAATAGGAGTCCTTTGAACGCTGCCACCTGGATTCCAGCCTCATGGGGAAACGGGATGAAGCAGACAGGCAGAGCCTGGTGACTTGAAGCCTTTCCTTCTAGACCTGGAATCACAGCAGCCACCCCAGAATAAAAGAATATTAGAAAATAATAGCTATCGGGCCAGGGATTTAGCTCAGTGGTTCTGCCACCTGCCTCGAAAGCACAAGGTTCCAAGTTCAATCCCTGGCACCAAAAAAACCACAAAACAATAGCTATCTTTTTTTGTGTGTGTACTAACAGTTGAACCCAGAGTCTTAGCATTGAGTACACCCTCCACCCTTTTATATTTTTATTTTGAGGCAGGTCACTAAGTTGCTAAGTTTCTCCCGTAGGGCTTGAACTTGCAGTCCTCCTGCCTCAGCCTCCCAGCGTACTGAGATCAAAGATTTTTAGCAAGAATGAGAAAGCTGTAGTCTGTAGACTGGCATAATATTTGATAAGTATATTATAGTATTATACAGTAAAATATAGCCAATAGCTTGTCATCTCTCTACTGTAGTCTTTGGCTATGTTTTAAACCAGTAATCAGTTGTAAATGGAAAATAAAAATTAGGTTTATTTACTTTGTTTCAAGGTCAATTTTGGATGCAAAATTATATCTGGCTTTTTAGTTTCCAGTTGATCCATTGCCTGTAGGGATCATCTCCAGTTTCCTAAATTTCTAATTAAATTTGATTGTTAAAATATTCATTTACCATGTATGTATGTGTTTATTTATGAGGTGCTGGGGATTGAGGCCAGGACCTTACACATGCTAGGCAAATGTACTACCACTGAGCTACGCAACCTTTTTTATATTTTATTTTGAGGTGGGGTCTCTCTAAGTTGCTCATAATGGCCTGGAACTTGGGATCCTCTTGCCTCAGCCTTCCAAGTAGCTGCGATACGGGTGTGCACCACCTCGCCTGGCTATAAATTGACATTTCAGTGATAAACCGAAAATATCTTAGGTCAAAAATGCACTGAGACACCTAGCCCATCAGCAGCACGGCGCGGTGATTTTGCTTGTTTCTCGCCGCGGTCATGGGGTGCTGTGTGTGTCTTCTTCACACGCACAATAACAGCGTGTCTGCTTGCGCAGGAGGCCCAGGTGCACACAGGAGGCTTGGGTTTTGTGCAGCCCCGCGGTTCCCTCCTCACGGTGCAGAACACGGCCAGCCCCGTCGCCACGCTGGAGTCTCCGTGGCCGCTGTGGGGCACTTGAAGCGCAGGGGGAGGAGGACTGTCTCAAACCCACCTCCCCTCGGAGGGGCAGAGTGCTGGGGTCAGACTTCACAAATGTCACCAGCCTGAGCCCCGCATCCCAGTGGACAAGTGCGTAAGAGCAGGGGAAGTCGAGAGGAACTTAGAGCAGGCTTTTCATCAGTTTCAAAACTCCCAGGTTGTGCCCAAGCTGGGAGGGAGTTAACACGATGCTCGAGTGTGTTAGCAATCAGGATGTGATACATCTGTATTATGGGTTTGGGTGGGTTTTTTTAACCCCTTTGGCTGGGGATTAAACCTGGGGCCTTGTGCTTCAGGTGCTCTACCACTGAGCTACATCCCCACTCCTTTTTATTTTTATTTTTTTAAATTTTGAGACAGAGATTTGGTAAATTGTCCAGGCTGGGGTTGAACTCAAGATCCTCCTCCCCCAGTCTCCTGAGTGGCTAGGATTACAGATGTGCACCACCGCACCAGGCTAGTCTTTTTTTTTTTAATAAAATTTTAAACAAACTTATATAACTTCTTCTTTTTTTTTTTTTGGTACCGGGGATTGAACTTGGGACCTTGTGCTTTTGAGGCAGGCGGCAGAACCAATGAACTAAATCCCCGGCCCACTTATAGAACTTCTGATGCCACCTGAATGGTTTGAAAATGATGTCAGCAACAGAAGGGTAAATATTCTAACAACTACTGTAGTGGGAAGACAGGACTAATGGGGAAACAGGGAGAGATGGGACCCTAAGGATTTTGTTTCTGGGTGATTTTCAAGTCCCTAAGGTATTCTTCTGTTTCAGTGGAACCCAAGAAGCTGTAGAATGGCCATTCCCTCTCCACCCACCCCACCCCTGTGCCAGCCTAGTGCAGGGCAGAGGTGGCATCTGGTCACCTAGCTGAGGCGGCTTCTGGTCACCAAGCTGAGGCATGCCTGTCGGGTGAGGGTGATTTAGGGGCCGGATGGGGACGTTTCATTCTGTGTCTACTCTGCCTGAGTTTTCCTAGTGAATGTCAACTGCTTTTAATCATTGGAAAAACCATACGAAACCAAAACCTAAATATAGCACCAATTTAAAAAAAAAGACTTCTTCACTGCAGAGCTGCTGCAGGGACCTCTGTAATACGCTGGCTCTGGGCTGGAATTAAACCTCGCTTCTTTACATGAGTGTAAACTCCAGACTAAGGGAAAAAGCTTTAGCCACTTAGAAGTTTTTGGAACCCAGCAGAGCAATCAACGCTCTCTGGCTGGAATTTCAAGCCCACTTGATACTGTTACCGACCAATACATCTCGGGTAACAGAAGCGGCAGGCGGGGGTACCACGTAACGACCTTCCTATAGACCGCTACTTTATGAACTCTTTTTTTTTTTTTTTTTTAGTACCAGGGATTGAACTCCGGTCCTTGCTCTTGCACAGCAGGCAGCGAAACCACTGAGCTAATTCCCCGATACTTTATGAACTCTTACAAGACGGAGCGCTAGGTCCCCCAGGCCTCTTCCATGTAATTCTACTGCCACACCCCCACTAAAAAAAAGAAGAGAAAAAAGAAGAATTGATGTTAATAAAGTTAGTGAATTAGGCTCCTGTGAAAGTTCCCAACAACCGGTATTGTTGAATGCCTCCCCTTTCTTTTTGCATCCAAGGAAAACCTGAACTACTTTTTCAAAGTCTTGTTCCTGTTTGTTTGTCTCGTTTTTGTTGTTGTTTGGTATTGGGCATCAAACTGGAACGAGGCAGGCGGTGGAACCACTGAGCTAAATCCCCGGCCTGTTGTTCTTTTTTTACAACCTCAAGTTCTTACTCCACACAGTCATGAGTATGGCATCTCAGTTTTACAAAGGCAGATGCTGTCACGGCTTGGAAACTTCCCGGCAGGTCCCACCCGATGCACATCCGCTGCAGTTCCTCCACAGCCTTGGGTTCACGATCCAAGCACCCATCCTCCCAGGCAGCCTTGCCGGGCCACTCCTACTCCTCCTAGCACCTCTCCCATGCTGTCTGGGGTTGGTAACCCTGCCACTGCCCCAGCCAGCCTTGAGGTCTGGTGCTCAGACCCATCTGAGCCACGGCCACTAAGGCTCCAGTGCCACGCTGGATCCAACTTTACGCCAGGCTTTTCCCTAGTCTCCTGGCGGCCCCCTTGGATCTCTGTCAGGTGCTGGGAGTCTCTGGCTGTCCTGGAGATGGACAGGGAAGCCCCAAGTTGTAGCTGTTGCTTGGT